GCTTATTCGCGGATCTTTGTTAATTAAAATCTCAGTAACTATTGCAAATCTAGCAAAATGGTATAAGACTTTTTGACTCAGTTTTACTCCTTCTACCTGCCTACGAGAGATTGTACGGCCATTCTGGGACACCCTGTATATACAGGTATAAAAAAACGCAGATATTCCAATAAGGCAGTTAATTTAATATATTTATTTTAATTTTTTTTTTTTAGCAAACGCTCTTACAAGGGACATAAATTGCAAGACTTATGTTCGAATTAAACGACGTAAATTTCGGTATCGTTTGCGTATATTTAAATCGCACAATCTTTTTTTCACACTCATGACTTCACTTTATTCAAATTGTGGTTGTTTTTGTTTTTTTTTTGTAAAATATAAATTATATTTATACATCTTTTTGTCAGTACACAGACAAAAACCGCTTGTGATTTATTATTTTATTTTGCGCCTAAAAACTGTTGTGGTTTTGCGGTTGTTTTTATTCATCTCATTTTTCGCGTTCGCCGCTTTGTGCCGAGTGTGTCTTTTGACATACGTGTAACATATAATAGAATTAACATGCTAACACTATAGTATTCTGACTTGTGCATTTTTCTTTTGTTCGCGATTCCTGTCCGATCTTTTATACATCGAGTCGTCACCGGACTAATAGCTCATCCACTTCCATAGCTCGTCCCTGGAAACGTCGACACGTATATACCTCGTAGAACGGGAACAAAGTCCTCGGTGTACGATGACGTACGACAACGCGCGACTCGATAACGCCGTGCAGGCGAGCGGGCATTCTCGGCGTTCTCGGATTTCGCTTTCGTTCGCAGAAGCCTACGAGATGGAAATGGGAGATCGTCGAGGGAAACGCTGAGACGGCCCGAGTTTAATCGGGGGGGACACTTCGGAATCTCGAGAGATTCTTCGTGCTGTAAACAGCGCGCGACGTAGTCTCTCGCGACGAAAATCTCTCGGGTACATTCCCCCTCTTCTGCGTATCAAATTAAATGTATTTTTCTTTTTTTTTTTTTTTTTTATACAACAACGGTTTTTGCAACGACAAAAATCGGAGTTGATTCGGTCATTGTGTCGCAAAAAAGATTATCATGCTACGTTGTTTGGTAGGTGAGTGTTTTATAAAGTACACTAGCAGTATAAGTACACAATATAGGCGCGCGCTACGCACACGCTATGATTATTTTTATTTTAACACGTGTTGTGTCAGTGAACACAACCTGTCACCGCGATGTAGCTAGTATACACGTCTTATACAAGCCATATAATACACGTATGAGAAATAAGGTATGAAAATCAAACTCAAAAATCATGAGAGAGAGGAGTGGAAAAACAACACGTGACTAAAGTCACGTGACTTTACTTTAGTCACGTTTTTAAAGACGTGACTAAACTACAGTCACGTGACTGTAGTCTCTCTTGTCGTGCCTCTTGATTTGTACATGGACATGAATCGAGAAATACATTCAAGAAACATCCAATCAGCGTCGAGATAAAAGAGGCAGCAATCAAGATCGATAGAATCGATTGTGATTACACACGCTTTTTCTGGTAGGATCAAAACATTATTTTTCGATAACGTGTCTACGACTCATTTGTTTTGTTTGAGACAAACGTCCAATTGTAGAGAATGAACTAAATTTATTACAATATCTCGCGAATTCTGTGTGCTCGTGAGATATTTTAACGAGCGTCGAGTCGTCCGACGCGCGACATCGCTCTTGTTTATCGCGCGCTTGTTCTCTCCGTTTCTTTCGGACTCTTCATTACAAGTATATGTGCGTATTTCTGTATGCACGCAAAAGTAATGCGTGGCGCGTGAAATACGTTGAAACAACGTAACAAAACGCGAGAATAATCCGAGGTAATGTATGCATAAACGCTCCGAATAACATGTAAATTGCGAGAACGCGCCGGAACGCGCGCTTCTTGGCGCATCGAGCAAACTTAAATGCATTATATATATATATATATATATATATATATATATATATATATATATACGTATGTGTCTGGTAGTGCGCTATTAAGCGCGAAAACCTTGCGAATGCTAAATGTGCGGGATTATCTTTTCTACTCCGCAGCGCCTCCTCCGAATCTCCTTCTTCGGACTTTTAGATAAGTTCGAATTATGAGCGCGTAATCGCTAAAATTGTATATACATCGCGCGATAGTCAATACATACATGTATCAAACTGGCAGCAGTCTCTGCCGTCGTCGTCGCAGTCTAATAACGACCGTGAACTTTATCTTTGCCGTTCCAAGAACAGCAAAGCGCTATTAAATGTACACACGTCTCGCCAGCATTTCTTTTCATATGTAGAAAAAGCTTCTTTTCTTATGCAAACGAAACGTCATTATAATTTGTGTTATCATGCGCATTGTTAAGGAATCCGTGTCAACGCAGAAACCAACAATTGCGTCACGCGTTCCCGTACAGATGTACACTGGCGTGCAATAATGCATTCCAAAA